AGAATACTTACCTGTAAGACGTAGGATTAGATAAATAGGTAACAATAGAAGAGATTTATCTAAAACCTTTTGGAAAATCGAAACGCACCAATATTTTCCAATTTTCGTGCTGCAGACAATTTTGCGATAAAACTAAATGATGTTCTTGAAACCGCATTCCTCTTTCAGCGTTTAAAAAGAGGTTTTGAAATATTGCTCCAGTAATCTTTTCACGCGTATGGCAATTCCACGTCAAAAACTTTTCATTTCACATCCTTGAAACACATTACACAGACAGCGAATCTGCTCTACAAAAAGAACTTTTCTAGTTGGTAAGAAAATCCTCAACCCGCAGTTAAATATGGCCACACCTCAAACATCCGGCCAGGAAATGTAATTTTTCTTCTTCCGATTACTATAGAGAGCAGTCCCATAAACAATTTAATGAGCCATTTCTCTCGACCTACTGGCCTAACTGATGCAAAACCAATATTAATTTTTTAAAATTAATCGTCAGCGTCAAGAACTCTCCAGTAATCCAAGTTTTTTTTTTAGTGATTGATGCATAACGTTCTCTAGCTATCCCTAGTTTTTTGACTCATGCAGTTGCAGAACGAGTGGGAGAAGGGAGCAAATGATGTCTCAAACCCTCTTGCTACGATTGATTAGAACCTCGGCAAACCATTTGCTAAAAAGCGCTGTATGTGGCACCAATGAACCGGACAAGTATCCCGGAATAGCACCCAAAAGAAGGTAGAAAGTAAGAGTTTAGAAAAGCACACTCTAAGAAAGATGCTCATACCTTCTATCTAAATTTGTTCTGCTTCGGAACAACCAAACTCTAACTGAGTGAGCGGAAAAGCACAACGGTTGTTCTGAGAACAATTGCACCACAACGAGTTCAAAAATAATATCCATTTTTTCAAAAATAATATGGTAGCTTCCCTACCCAGTAGTGTCATATCTTTGAAAGCACAGTATCAGCAATGACTTCCTTCATGTGAAATTTGTATTAAAAGAATTCTAACTGCAGTTCACAGAAAAAGATTTTATTTTTCCAATGCAGCCTTAACAAACACGGGATAAAATTTCAACTGCACAATTGTAAAATCCTTTCATAAACAAGACGTACGATCATTTCGCTTTTTTCTTTGTCACTCACGTTTGAATTTGTAACCGGTTCCACAGTTACTAGCTTCCTAAGAGAGCGCAGAGCCTTCAAAGTCCCTTTAGCAGAAACAATTAATCGTTCTGAAAAAACTACATCGTAAGGACTATATATTCAAAAAATAGCCTACAAAAGAATCAAAAATACACCTTCACGATTAGGAACAGGTCTTAGTTCCAAATCAACCACGCCAGAGTATTTCATCATTTTCTCTTTTAAGTTATAACTGGAAAACTTTGCTTCGCTAGGAATCTCAATTACAAATGGAGTCATTTCGAAAACGTCGCCATCCTGAAGAAAACCCCATTGTAAATAGTCAAGTTCAAAGCAGTCCGCAAGGGAATATCCAAGCTTCGCAAACAGAAAAAGCAAACATTTAAGTCTCAGTAACTTACTTTAAACTCTTCATGATCATCCAAAAGCAACTCGTCGAGAGAACCTTTCAACATTAACTGATAGAATGATTCAGATGCCACCTTAAAAATAATTGTTTAAGCGTTGAAAAGCCAGTAACAATTACAAACAGGTATTTTCTACAAGTTGCAAACCCTAAATTCTCTTGGCAGTTCAAAACTGCTGTTATCCAGTCTACTGTTGTGCAGAAAGATTCAGATAAGAAATCAGAAGTTGCAAAAAAAGATGACAAAACATTCCCTCAACACCAAACAATTTCCGATACCTTATGCAATTGCAGCCACTGACCACGCATTAGCCTCGATCGATGGTCGAAATTCGGACTGCTAAAGTCAATGCACTCTAAATTTTCGAAGCTTCTAGAGCTAAGAAATTGTAAGAAACGTATGAATAATTTCCCAATACCTCCCATCATATCTTCAAGTTGAACAACATTAGTGCAGTCATCTGCATCAATCTATAAACAATTTTAAAGCTGCGGAAGAGTAGAGACAAAAATAAATGTAATGAAGCAAACCAAATATTTACAAATTTCAGTCTACTCCAAATAAGTTAGAGAAAGCTACCAAACTTCATTACCTGCTGCAAATCAGCAATCTCATAACTTTCAGTGATATAATGACCAATAAGAAACTGTATAAGCAGGAGACTTAATTTCGTAGAGTCAAGGTCCTCATCAAACAAATTATGATGTTTGGCCCATTCAAAAACGACAAATATTATTCTTTCCAAACCTAAAACTTGATAAACTTTGACATAGCTGATCCACCTTTCTCACACTTCCTCAACGATTAATCCTCAGTAGAATCTGTTAACAGTGAATGATAGAATGTTATTTTTCAAACAAAATAGAGCAGAAATTTTAAAGTGGAAATAAATGCAAAAGAACTTAATTCCTCACTGTTATCAATTTGAAGCTGAGAAAAACGAGAAACAAAGACGGTCAATCAAAAATGCGTACCCTTGTATTTGTTGCAATATCGACGTACAGCATTTGAACCAGAACCATTAGTCGTCAAGAAGCTTATCAATTTTCTCAAAGAAGTTTCACGTTGATTACAGTAACAATTCATAAACTAGAAAGATCTTTTAATTCTAGTGAAGCAGTGAATTTCTTACGTTCATCCTACTTCAATAAATCCAAATCTTCAACGAAGAAAAAGAAAACTGAGACGAAAAAAAGCTGATTCGAAGTGAACTGTTAATATAAGTCTCTTCATTTCAAAAGAAATGCTGAAAAGAGCTCACACTAGTGACTGAAGCAGAAAGCGGGTCTATAGTCACTAAAGACGGGTTCTGGTTCTTCGTCTTGATGTGAGCAAGGATATCCCAAACTAACCAAGGAAACGACAATGTTCGCTTTCCAGATGAGTGCGACGCTGCATCTCAAAAATTATACATGTTACAATAATGCCTCCACGAGATTGTCGAAAAGTACCTACTGCTTTCTACTATTTTCTGCCCTAGAAAATTTTAAACATTTTAAAAGGAAGGTTACCACGGATTGCTTAAAGAAGTATCAAAACCTGCTAAGACAGAAAAATAAACTTGCTGTTACCATACCGGCGACTACAGCTCAAACTGTTTATTAAATAACACCATTCTTTTCTATTCCTTAAACTATGAAAAGAACAGTTTAGTCTAGCAGATGAAAAAGGCCGCCAAGCAATTTCTACTGCGAAACACTGGGATGAGTTTAAATGGTATTTAACACTCAGCTTTACCGTAGTACACCTCCTGAATAAGACAGTGAAGGAGAAATCGTATGTAAACATTGGTCTACTAAAAATTATAAGATTACTCTCATTAAAAAAAAGTTCTACAAAAATTGCGTTATTCACATCAGCCATTTAAACTGGTTCTGGAGAAGGGTGAATAGAAAAAATGTAGTCTGAGCATTCGAATGGCTCTTAAGGTAATTTCAGAACTCTATTACTAAAGATCAATAACTTTTATAAACAACGCCTGTTGTAATCATGCAGATGTTTCTTCGTTGACCAGAAAATGGTTCAGAAATGCAGAAAATCTGAAGAATAAATCTGTATTCAAATTAGGTTTCACTCCTCCACTTTTTTAGAGTTGCAATTTTAAACCGAACCACTATCCCTCATACAACAACCACCAAAACAGCGCCATATAAAAAAGAAAAAAATTATTACAGTATTTAGAAACAAGACGATCAGAAATTGGGAAGCAGAGTAGGTAGGAGGGTATAAAATTGGAAAAAATGAATAAGACAAAGATCCTATTGAAAAAAGTGTGTTGTGACAGGCAAAAAAGCACACTAGCAATGGGCAAACTTGGCTAAACCGCCGGAAGACCATTTTAAAGTGGAAAATCGCTCTTAACCGTCCCTGTCAGCCCGGTTGCCGGTGCTCATGTCTATTTTTTCCCCATAGCAAGGTCTTACAAACTCATAGCCCCAATTCCACGGAGACTTCCTCAGTAACCATCTTAACATCCTCCCCTCGTAAATCTAATTAACGAAGATGCAGACGTAAACATAAAATGGAGCTCTAAAAACGCATGTAAAAGAGTTGAAATTATAGACAAAAAATTGCACATTTACAGTCAGTCAGCCACAATACCGTCACAGAACCAAAAACGTAGAGCGCACCATTTGCAGCTGTAGTACACACAAAAGGCTTCCAAGAAAGTTTAAAGAAAAAGTACATGACATCCTAAAAAAACTTAGAAACTGTTTTCTGTTTCTTAAAAATTGACCCAAGAATAAGCCATTGAGAAATAATAAACGAAATATTGAACGAATAGATCAAGAGATCACTCTCCTTGACCTTTCGGTTGAGGTCTGGTAAAAGACAACCGTAAGTCTCCACTGGTGTCACCTGTTAACGTTATTTCAAATATTTTAGGCCACTGCTTTCATTAAAGGTAGAAGAACTCTCTTCACTCCTCTCTTGCTATCCCTCGCATCATTCAAAACTGCCCATTCTGAAGACTACGGTTGAAAAAGCTTCTAATTCTAGGCAAGATTGAAATCCAAAGACCTGGAAGGAAGTGAAAAATGACAGTTGGCGTTAGAAGGAAACGCAGACAGCATAATCCCCTAATCTCACAAAAAAAACTGAATTTAGAAAACACACAAGTTTAAAGCACGCCTAAAAACTCAAAAATAAAATTGACACTGATACGGAAAGTATAGTCCACTGGAGGAGCAAGACTAAGACGGAAATGTTGTATGACAGCGTAATGCTGCCAAAGGTATTGGCGTAAGCAGCTTTAGTAGACAAAAGTAAATTTTGATTCTTACATGCGCCATTCCTTCAAAAACATATTTTCTATAGAAAATTGCTCTTTGCACAAAAAATTGAGCTTTGATATTAGGACAGAGGCTAGCTTGTCAAAGCCCCAACAGCTCGAAGCTGCAAAAATTTCTGAATTCACTAGCTCCAAAGACAGTAATTTAAGGTGGCCACTCAATCTGCCAGCAGGATAAGGTAAAAAACCCTGTAACCCTGCAATTAAGCAAAATTCTCGCAATTTCTTTTGGAAAGATCCTTCTCATCGCAGATCAAACTTGGAGCTCCAAAGTGGTTCGTGAATCTCAGGGTAAAAAGTCCATAGAAAATCCTCTTTAAAAAGACAAAAACTTCGCACTCATCTATCTATCTCCACAGATTTTGCTTCATATATAGTGATTCTAAGTGAAAGAGATACCGGAAGTTGAATAAAGAACAAGTTCAGTTGACGATTTCAGCCTATTTACTACAAAAAACGCAAGCTATGACTTCTTCAATTTTAAAATTAAGAATTAACCCACCAAGAATTGTAAATTAATTACTTCTAGGTTTGTAGAACTTCAAAGTTTTAGCAACCAAACCTCTACAGGCAGTCACTCAGCAGCATTTAACAAAATTATCAACGAAATCACTCTGTAGAGAACCAAATATGCAGATTAGTGACAGCGGAATAAAGAATGGTAAGTCTTACTGTAGCAAATAACATAATAAGCTGACGCCTTCTCTTTCATTTCATCGTTGGAGTCCTCACAAATGCGACAAAGGTCTTGCTCTGAAGAAGAAAAGTCGTTATTTCTTGCTGTTACAGTGCACTGTTCGAGACCTCCAAATTCTTCAAAAAATCGGTTTCGAAAACTGAAAAATAATTATTTATTAAGAAAAACAAGTATTCATTTATTTCTGAATATTTTATGCCAAACTGAAACCATTTCTTGAAGTCAGAAGGGGAGACCACTGCAATCTTCTGAAGTGGGTAAAATATTTTTACTGGATTAAAACAGCCATGTGGTAAGTCGACTCAAGCAACATCAAATATTCATTAATCGTTACAAATAAATCCAACAACAAAATGTCTTACAACAAGCTCATCCTAAATGTGCCCGCTGTCAGCAACCTACATTATTAAAAAGTGTAGAAGAGCGCCAAAAATGCCATCAGGAGAAAATCTTCACTGAATGAAAAAAATTAATGTTTTATAACTTACATTCTGAAAATATCAGTCACTTTTTTCTCAATCATGTGGTTGGTGTTGTACAATGACATGTCGTCATTATCCTTTTCGCTAAGCCTATTTCGTATCACAGTTATGCATCCAGAAAACAGCTGACCCTCATCTTCAATACCATAGTTGTCCAACAGAGACTATAAAAAGAAGATCCTCAAGAAAAAAAAATGAAAAACACCTAAATTTAAAAAGCTGAAAAGTGCACCTTCAGTAAAAACCACTGGTCATAATTATACAAGCCAAAAAAGAAAAAATAACCATAATATATGTACTATAGGCCAAATAATCTTCTCGCGCAACATTCACACGCTTCTCATAACCAGGCCAAATCAGTGTCTCATCGAGAGAGACGTCGGTTAGTTTCTCAGAAGCCATGGTTAAGGTTAAAGCATCATCAACAAGCTTGATTCGTCTAAAATATCTAACAAAAAAACAATGAAAAGAAAGCACTATACCAATGCAGTGAATATTTACCAGCAGGCAATTTGGTATAAAGTTAGCGAGCATTTGAAGGTAAGTCCGGAGGTGCAGCATCTCAAAATAGACACGCGGAAGGTAAGAAAGTGTTTTGAAGCCTCAAAAACAGCAGTATAAAAGCAAGATATATGAATTCCAAAAAACCCTAAGTCACAGAAAACGAACATCTGGGAAGCTGCAGCTAAAAAGACATTTGTAAAAAAATGATAAACTAAGAAGATACAGTAATCTTTCAACAAGCTTATCAGCGCATCCTCCCCGTAACGCCACGTGACCTCATCCTATCGCTGTAGTATTGCAACCAAGCTCATTGCTATCAGTTATACTGGCATACCTACATTACAAAAACTGAAATACCGAGTAACAAACTCTCGTGCTTCCTACAATTTCTGTTGTTATTGGAAAATTATTCTCTTCCCACTCAATTTCTAAAGCAAAATAAGTTTTGAAGCTTATGGACTGTTATGCCAGACCGGGGTTAGTCACTCGCATTTAAGAAAACAACAAAGCGTTTCAAAATCAAAAGAAATGCTTGACAAGCAGAAAACACGGAACGTTCAAACTGTTAAAGCAAGCAGGAAACTTGCTCAGCAAAATTACCTGAAAAGTTGTCCGACCAATCTTCTAGACACATAAAACGGTTCATGATTCTTTGCCATAAAATCAGGCCATCGTTCAGGTTTTTCAGGAGGTATAGAAACACCTCTTTTTGAAGTCTGCCATGACCTGGTAAGAGGTTCAGGAGGATGTCCTGTTTTAGGAAAATCAACTGATTTTGAGTGCTTGTGGGCAATAATGCTGCATACCTCAAAAGCAATGTTTTACAATGGAACTTCCAAAATTGAAAAAAGAACTTTCAAACAGTTTTGGAATAGGGCCATGTGACATATCGATACGATTCAAAAACAAAGCCACAACTGCCGCAAACACCACACTTTAAAAGCAAAGATTTAAAAGTAATGACCCCCATTCACCAGAACAATCTAAACAGCAAAAAAACGTTGAATAAAAGAAACAAGTGTTTAGATGAAACATCATACTTCACTTTTAATTCCGAAGAGATCTGAATTAGCAAGAAATGCATTTGAAATGGTGCCGATGGAATCCTGTTTGATGTACTCAACGAAGAAATTTCGCATTTCAGACACCTGAACCAAATTCAAAGGAATGAAATTTTCTACCAGCAATCTTTCTAAACAGAATTATGTATCACAAATAGTATGTTATACATATATATAATATTTATATAATATATATATTATATTATATATATTATATATATTAT